GAGAGAGAGAGAGAGAGAGAGAGAGAGAGAGAGAGAGAGAGAGAGAGAGCAAAAGAGAAGTAAATATAGCAGGTAATAAACGCGAAAAAAGTCACGAGACGAGCAATTCGACCGTAAATTAGAGCCGCGCTTTATGTTACACCGCGTGAATTATGCTGATTTTCGGATTAATAGAGGGACAGAACGGTGACACGAGATGAGAATTCGCGTGCCTTGTTTTCGAAGCGACGGCCGTGATGAGAGTCGTTAAGAACGTCGAAAATTCTTCCACCGACCGAAGCGACGACGGAGGAACGCTTTTACGATCGGTTCACATATCACGCGACATCAAGTCATTCGTTGATCCACCCGCCGCGAATCCCTCTCGCGGCTGATTCGGATAAGAGAACACGGAGAGGAAAAAGAGCAGGTTGAAACGTGTCAGAGGAAGACGGAAGAGTCGTTGCGCCGGCCGCGTTCGGTGCCCGCTGATGGCAGAAACCTCGTTAACGAGCGGACACGAGCCATCCATTAATAGTCGCCGAAACTGGCACTCCGTTTATATCAAATGTGGCGCCGACAATGTTACGGTGGCGGGCGCGACGCGCGTCTCTTCCGACAAACAACGAGCGAATCGGACGGGCGGAAATCTTGCGCCACGCGCGATCGGTTTTATTGATATCGATATCATACTTCTTGTTTCTTTTTCTCTCTCTCTCCCTCCCTCTCACCTTCTTTTCTCTTTTTTCTTCTTAAATCAGCGCTACCTCTTCGAGACGATCGAATTTATCGCGAGGAAATGCCGCATGATACCGTCGTTGCGACAAGCGCGAACATACGCGCGAACGGCCAGGCTGCGTTTATCGTTTACAGAGAGCAATTAAATTCGCATCGCGGGACTTTATTGCGGTCTCCACGATCCGGCAACACCCGCCTCTTATGGTACTTCGAGATGTGTCGATGTGTATGAATGTGTGTACGCGGACAGGTCGCGAAGCGACGAGCGGAGCCGGGTGGTGAAAGACGTGCCGTTCCTCTATCGTTTAACATACAAGTTAAGTAGCGATCATACTCGCCGAAAGTTTTTACGACGGCAGCACGAGTGCCAGCACGCGACGGATTCTGCGTTTAGCCGCGTCGCAGAACGTGCGGACACGGCGCATTCGTCCCGGATGAAAAAGTCTCTCGACTCGCTAATTGATTTGCGTGTCATCAGCGCGACATTCTCATTATTATTTAATCGACAGGACTCCCAGAGACTATAAAGACGCGCGGCGAATAGCTGTGCAATTTTATGTATGCCATTCATTAAATTCTCACCTAATAGTTGCATCGTCGAGGCGACAGTCCCCCGAACGCGCTCTCGTCGCGATCTATCGAGTAGTGGCGGCGGCGGCGGTTGCTCCCTCGACGTCTAAATTTATCGGCCGCGATTCAGCCGAGACCACCCATTTAATTATTTATTGGACCGGTGAGAACCGTTTATTGCATCGCTCACGACCGGTATCGGGCATGTGTAAGTCTCATTTAAATACGACTCCGCGCTCGATGAGACTGTCGCGCGCGCGAATTGTCCTTACCGTCCCGGTGGGAGTCGAGCATAGACCTCCATCAATTTTAAAAGCGCAATAAATTATCGACGCCCGTGATAGCTCGATCTGTGCGGCTTGTATCGTATTCCAACGATTTGTATCGTGCGCGACGTGCTCATGAACTTTTGAAAAATGCCGAGTCAACAAGGAAAAGAATTTTAATGCCAGCGGGAATACCGAAACGGCATGCAAAATTCAAGGATTCTGTGTTCTCTAGAGAGAGAGTTAAAGGAAAGTGACTCGCGCGCGAGAGAGATATATCGCGCATGGTTAATCGAACCAACGCGATGAACACCGTCGTAGGGAGAACTCGAGAATGTAAGCAGCGTCGAGACTTGTAGCGCTTCGCGGTAGTGAATTGAGCGTACGTCCCGTCGCTTTAACCTCTTGCGTTGATATTCGTTTGACGGACTCATAAAACGGCGAAAAATTACAACAAAATTTTTACAATCTCCAACCGTACAACATTACACGGAAAGAAGATTTCAGTTTGTGTGCACGTGCGAATATTCGAGTGCATTCGTAAAATAACTAAAGTATACGTTGCAAGTCGATTTGCATCCACCCTGCGCAATATCCCGCAGAACTCTTTTACGTATTTGCGATACCATACACGGAGAAAAAGATTTGGTTAACCAAACATTAATAAATATACCAAATATTAATAAATTAACCAAATATCTGGTCGAATATGAACGATCCAGAAGTTCCGATTGAAATAACCCGAATTCTGTTTAAATCAATCAGAAATCTCGTTAACTTAAACAGAATTCGGGTTACTTCAATAGGAATTTCTGGATCGTTCATATTCGACCAGATATTTGGTTAATTCAACCAAACCTTCTTTTTTCCGTGCAAGATTGAGTCGGGACTGACGCGTGCACGTTTAGCTCGCGAAGACACAACGTCTGCGAGACATTGTTCGAAGGATTGAAGCGCGCGCGAGCGCAAAGTCGGCAGCGATCGGATGTGACTCGGCTGTACAGGTTTGTCGCGAACGCGTAGGAGTGGAAGCGCCGCGGTCATTAATCTATGGCAGGTGAGGTGCGTGCCGACGTAATCGGCGATTTGCTCGAGTCTTGGCACGGGTCTCAGCACGCGATCTCCACTCAGGTTTCTCTCGACCTCTTCGTGCCACGGGGATATCTCGGATCTGACCTAGTCACCCCCGAGATCGCGGCCCGCCGTATATCTTCGCGTGTATCCGCGGACTATAAAGTGGGCGATCCCGCGAGTTCGGCGGAACTGCGGCCCGAGTTTCGAGTACGAACTTTATACCGCCGCCGCCGCCGCCGCTCGTTACCGATCGCGAAACTAGGCCGACAGATCATCAGATTACCTTTTATGCAATTGCTTCGTGCCACTAATGTCGGACACGCTCGAAGATAAGATTACGGGGCAATTATGGCGCGATAAATGCGTGCATATCGGGCCCTCACGGCCATTCTACGCAGAGAAAAAGGACATCCCCGTTTGGAAAATATCTTTATTTTTGACGTGATCTTCAAATGATTTACACAGCACCAAACGAAGATGAGTCACTGTCAATACACTTTTCATCCAATTCAGCAAATAATTATTTAAATTACACGATAAAATTTTTAACAAAATTACAGATCGTTGCTTACGTATAAAGATATTTTCCAAACGCGCATGTCCTTTTCTACTTTTGACGAATTCGACGTTCTTGTTCTCGTAGTCGTTGAAGTGAAATATTCACGAGTTCAAAACTGCACAACTTCGTGTGCCGATCAACTAACGTCAGCAAATTGTAGTCACCCATTTCTCCCCGTCTAATTGTTAACAGTTGTAACGAATACACGAGGTCACAACGAAGTGCCTGTAATTTCGAAGGCTGCTGATTCCTTTTCAAGATAGGGAGACTACAATTTCCGCTGCCGTGCAATAACTGCGGAGGCGTACTCACCATCAGGATGCACAAAATCTTCGCTAAAACGACAAGCTGTGGTAACCTGGAAGCAGAAGAAGGACACACTCATTAGTTCGGAGATCATCTGCAGAACGGGAATACGCGATAAATACGTCTTGGCCGATACGTTTCAATTTGCGCGCGGGTCTGCCGGCATTTCTAAGTGATTTATCGTATGCAAATAAAGTTCCCATGATTACACGGTGGGTTAGCATAGGACGGTCATTAGTATTACCAACCGCGCAAATTGAAAGCACAGGATGTACCGGATCGGTCGTGGCCGATAAGCGAAAACGCGCGCGCGCGCGCAGGATAATTACTATCGAAAAGATATTATCGCAGATAAGGTTGTGCCGCGGAGTCTAATTTATGATCCCAACTCGCACGCATATGCGTACATTATACGTTGCATATGCAACTGCAATCATATCTTCTCCATCGACAGAGTGTCAAAATACTTTTGTACATATTGACTCTCTTGTAGCACGCGAGTGTTTCATACTGATCATTATTTATTCGCAAACACATTGGCGGTATCTCGATGTATTATTGAACCTTCTTTTAACTATTTTTAGATTTTCCTTATTGTGTTACTCTACGTATCTATTTTTTTTTCTTCTTTTGTGCGTTGATCGTTTGTATCTTTTGTATTTATGTATCTACGCGGAGAGAATTTTATCATAAAAATTATAGAGTTTTGTAACCGCGAGGAACAGATCGACAATCTGCAATAATCGACTGTCCTTTTATTTCACATGTGCTATTTATATTTAAGAAATTGAAATGTGCTGGTGAAGAACTTGCTATGTTTTCAGGGAAATTTATCACGTTTCTCAGCGCATAGATCTTACTGACAGTCTGGTCCTACGCTACTAGGAACGCAGTGAAGCCAAAAATAATTTATATGAAGAAAAGCAATAATATACTCTCTTCGTGTGTATCCTTGTATCTACATGTGTCTCAGTACATTTGTATCTTATGTATCTCTGATCGCTGCTCACAGACAGGATTTATCCTGGGGCATGATAAAGCAGATTCTAAAGCAACCGTGTAGGAACGAACGTTTCCACCACTTGCCAAAGATGTAATATCCGAGCGACGCGATCGCAATACATTAGCCCGACAGGTGCAGCTGTCGCGCTCCCGACCGCAATAAGGGACACCTATCCCGCGGAAAATCGCCGCGATAACATCGACGCGTGTTGGACACCGGAGAATCATAGAAATCAAGAGTAATGACGCGGCGCGCCGCGGCTTGTAAATAATAACCCGGTTCCGTGGGAGCTGCCGCCGCAAGTAGTTGCGCAATGCGAATGCGTCTCGTGTTACAGAACACACAGGTGAACAACGAGCGTCGTGCGACGAGCGTCCGGCAGGAACTTTCGTTCGCCCGTTCGCTTTAATCCGACCGGGTTATTGGCTCGCTCGTGGTACCGCGGGTTGGACCAAACATGCCTCTCTTTCGCCTCATCCCGCCTACCTCGTCTCAATGTATTCTCGATGCACCGTGCGGAATGTCGCCGCCAGGCGTCCCCCTACCCGACCGAAGTGTCCGCTTCATTTGCTCACCGACGTAGGAGTCGTCGCGGAGCGACGAGCCTTGCCGAGCTTTACCGAGCTCTGAATCTCTCGCCAAACTGCCGGTTTTTCCTCAGCAAGCGCTACACAAGGCTTTTCCCAATTTTCCCCGACGAGACCCGCGAGCGACCGTTAAATCCTAATCGCGATCGCGATTAGACGCCGAGGTAATCGCAGTCAATCTTCCGGACGGGGCCGCGTGGGAATAATCGCGTTCTACGCCGTCACGTAGAAAATCTGGAGAAGACGCGGCCGGGCCGCAGAAGAAGACGCGGGATCCGCGATACGGATTTCGCCAGAGGACTCCGCCGTACATTCATCATCGCGTGCTCTCTGCGCGCGATACACATCAGGTCGTAACGCCGGAGTCCAGGCCGGAGAACGGGGTACCGGCGAGTCGACTCGACTCGGGTTTCGAGGTTTAATTGCACCGGCGCGACTGCGGCATGGCAGCGCGGCGCGGCGTGGCGCGGCTCGGCGACTCGATGCAAATACGCAACTGGAATCGTAACGTTCGACATTCGCTGCCGGATGCGTGAAGAAACGATTTATGCTTTATTAAATCGAGCGGGCTTTCACGCGCGCGACCAGACAAAGAAGAGGAAGAAAATGAAGAGAGAAGGGAAAGGTCTCTGAAAATGTCCGAAAGGTAAGTAAAATTCCAAAGGCGGTTTTTTCCTGCCCGAAGGCGAGTTTAGTCGCACGCGCGCCGTGGGATAAATCGCGCTGTGAATTGGCGTCCGTTTTTTTCGAGAAAACAACAACATCGCGCAGTTATATTTCAGAAAAATTATCTTCGCAGCTCTCTTGATCCTTTCGCTGCGAATTTTGTTTTTTAAACGTACAATTTTTTTACTTCCGTCTCATTAATGATAATATAGTTTTAATAAAAAAATTGAGTTTTACGTTTGGCATCAAAGATATGCGGTAGGGGCACTGATGTCTCATTGGAGTTTTTAGGAGAGCTTATTTGTTCCAATGCGATAAGTAGAATGACAGCTGATGCGTTCTGAATGCTAAAAAAGCTGTTTATTCAATCGAATAAGCCTGTTATCAATAGTGAAGTAAACATATGCCCTACTGGTAGCGAAAAGGTTAAGGATTACGATGGTAAAGGGCAGTTAGTGAGGACGTGTTATGAGTCTGGAAAGTAAAAGAGAAATGTGAAGGAAAATAGATCGCTGTATCGTAATCCGCGCCACCTGTTTCCTTCTACGCCGCGAGAACCGTTCGTGGAACGCGTGTGTCGTGCTACATTCCAAAGTATCTAATTTACGTCAGCAGCGTCAATACCGATTTTTCAATTTTCACATCGGCGGAGACCACCGCCTACTAAACCAAGGTGTACGGGTATCCCACTCGCCGGGATGCCGGTTTACATAATTGCAAACTTAGTCACACAGCGACGTCCCGCTGACAACTGCCTGCTAGCCGTTTCATTAACGGCCGTGGATCACCTCGGGACGCGATAATACACGCCGCGAACGTAGGTATCGGTCGTCGGACGTAAGCGTCGTCGCGGGATACATTAACATTCGGATCTCCCGGGACGTCTTGCGTAAGGAGGCGAGATGTCCGAGCGAGACGAACGTACGAATGGATGAAACGTGTCACCAGGACGGAAAGGTCGCCGAGGATGAAGATTTCTAGCCTGGACCGCGCGCACGTGACGTCGATCGCGACGATTGCGCGACACCTTCGTCGTTTCGCGCGACGATCGTTTCATCGCTCTTACTCGTCCCGATGTTGACAACTCTGATTCGCCCAAACTCGTGGATTCTCTCTCGGATTCTTATTTTGAACTTCATCACAATTGAGAGGACTTTGTCCCCGGTGTCGGGCATTAATTGACGAAAATTTTCTTTGACTAAAATAATTGGCAGATCAATAGTCGTAATTAATCGACGTTATGTATGTTATCACGAAATAATTAAATCAATTGATGGAACTAATTATTAATAATTAAAGGATATAAACATGTCTCTTAGGATCTCGTTATATGGCGTGCAATTGCGTGGATGCTTGGTAAAGTATTGTTAAAGCATTGGTGCGTTTGTAAAGTCAAATAGAGAGAGAGAGATATTGTAACTATAGGAATATCAATAACTAGATGTATAGAAATGGATGAATGTGTGTGGCTAAGGTATTTAAACCAGCTCCTCTTCGTGTCTGTGTGAGCTGAAGGGAAATAAATATCTATAAACACATGTCTCTCTTTATTCGTCGCGCTTTCGCGAGCTCTGTGTTCGCGTCGCGAACCTTTTTGCTCTTCGATAAATGTCTCGGAGGATCTTGTCTGCATTGGATGATAAATTGCAAGGAGTCGGTCACCTGTCAGCGAAGTCTACCATCGCGCGCGACGCGGCGATCGTCGCGTGGACCACGAGACGCTGGATGCTGCGTGCCGTCGCATAGATGCACGCGCTGGTCGGCGCACGTGGTCGTGCGTCGCGAAATTCCGCGGAGTCGCGAAATTCCGAGACGTCGTGATATCCCGACGTGACAAATTCCAACACGCGAGAGCGGCTCGCGCGCGTCACGCACGTCATACTGGCGCACTTGGCGACGCAGAGTCTACTTAATGTTCATTACCGTCTTGCAACGATACCTGTCAACGACTGAATGCACAAAAAGAAAAATACTCCGCTACGTGGCGCGTTTTCCTTCAGAGAAATATACGAGCAACGGGCGAGCTAGTGATTTCGCGAGAACTTCTCCAGAGGCGGAATTTCCGAATTTCACCAAGTTTCAGCGCTACGAATCTCACAAGATGCAACTTTCCGCCGCAACAATAGAGGGGATTACGATCGGCGATAAAAGTAACAACGCCTCCTGAGGAGTGGTCCTTTCGTTATCGATTCGCCGACTTCAAATTGGAATCCGTAGAACGTGTCCTGCGGTGTAGGGCGATGTGAGAAATGTCAACGTGGCGACGAAATTGCCGTAACTCACTCGACGATCGCCGTGGACATAGCTGCGAGAGTCTCCGCCTCGGCGTGTCATCTCAGTCCGTGCATTGTAAATCGCACGAATTACGGCCAGCCAGCAGCAGTAACGATTCGAGCACCTCGTTTCGCCGCGAGTTCCCGCGCTTTCGGTCGTACACGATGGCCGTACGATCTATGACGGATGGATATATACGGGTTACGCAATAGAATACGTCCCCGATGGGTCGACGACACCTCGCGCGCGCGAAGCTCCGCCGGATTGCTGCACCTCCTCGATCGATCGAACAGTTCAGTTTCGAGAGCAAGGCGGACCGGCGCGCAGCACGTTACGTCACCGTCGTCGGCCTCCGACGATCTCAAGAATCTGTGTCGATTTCTTTATCGCGCGGCGTGTCACGGCGCGTGACGACTCGCGCGACCACGAGTCGAGATCGAACTCTGCGGAAAAGCCGGCCCTCGCCGGACCTATATACCGCCGTTTCCGGCCGTCACGTGCCGTCAATTCGCGTCATGCACC